GCTTGGTGTTTCAGCTAAGTCGATTGCCGGCAAATGGTAGGTTGCACGATCCCGATAATAAAAGAGAAAAATGTTTAAAAAATATATAATTTAATACCAAATTCATTACCTGATGAAATGAAAGAGTCTCTGAAATCTTCTGTAGACAATTTTGCTAAAGAAGATTCTGATTTAGAAAAAATTGAAGATTATGTATCAAAAGTCAATTCAGATGATATTAATATTTCATATTATGGACTTAATCGATGCCGAAAATTATTGAGCAATGCTAAGTAATCTATACCTACAGAATCACTTATTGATTTGATTCTTAAAACTAATGTTCACATAAAAGTTTTTGATATAGCCAAAAACAATAGTATTCCATTGTTAAAATATGAGGCTCTCTGGATAGTTTGTAACATTGGATGTGGAACTTAAAAATAAATTTAAAATATTTTAGATAATGATGGAATTAATATTCTTTTTCTGGCGCTTGAATCTGAATATGATGAAATAATTGAATTAGGAGTTTGGGCATTAGCAAATATTTCAGGGGACAATGTTTAATTTAGAGATTTGCTATTAAATCAAGGAATAGTAGAACCCTTAATCAAATTAGCAATGCGGTATATAACTGATACCTCTGACGTCTTTAAAACTATTGTGTGGGCAATTAGTAATTTAGCCAGAGGAAAACCAACCCCAAAAATTGTATTATAATGACTTATAATTAGTATTAAAAGGAATTAATGTCGATTCTTTCAGAAATAATAAATAATATTGAGGACGAAGAATTGTTAATAGATGCTTGTTGGGGTTTGAGTTATTTAAGCGAATAAGAAAATCATATAGATACATTAATTGGTTTTGGCATTGTTGATAAATTAGCTCTACTACTATAATCAGAAAAATAATCTCTTGTAATTCCTGCTTTAAGAATAATAGGGAATATTTTGACTGGAAATGAGGAATAAACAAATCATGTTTTAAATACTGGAGTGCTATCAAAATTTGAAATTCTGCTTAAACATAAAAATAAAGCAATTCGCAGAGAAGTTAATATCAATTTATATTTAAGATTTGTTGGTCTTTGTCTAATATTGCTGCTGGTACTGCAGCCTAAGTAAAATAAATCATCAGAAATGATTCCCTTTTGAGTTCTTTGTTTGAAGAATTAGAAAAAGGAACCCCAGAAATAAAAAAAGAAATTGCCTTCATTCTATCAAATTCTGTTATTTATGCAGAATTAAAAGACTTAGATCATCTTGTTATGTCTCATGGATTAATTTAAAAATTATCTAGCCTTTTAGATATGAGTGATAAAACAGTTATTTAAGTAAGTCTGGAGGGAATTTTTGAATTTCTAAAAAGATGTAATTAATTCAATATATGAAGTTTAACATGATGAAAAATTTGAAATCTATAAATAAATTATCAAAGAGTCAAACTTGATAGAAAAAGTAGAATAAAAATAGACTCATTCATCTAATGTAATTTATGAGAACTCTATTAAAATTTTGAATTTTTTGGATCCTGAAGAATTTATCTGAGAATTGATATTTATTCTTATTAAAAATTGTAAATTATTGTAATTTAATATTCAAATTTGAAAGTGATGATATTTTGAAAATAGTTATATTATCAAATAGATAGTTTGTTTCATATCTTAATCCATTTCCTTCAAAAAGTTATTTGTAAGAAAAGAAACCATCAAACTCTTAAAGTGGGTAGTCTTTCTATTTATTTTAAGAGTAGATGTTATGCTGAGTTATTCTCTCAATAAATTAGTAATGAATTTGGATAATAAAAGAGATGAGAATAGTAAGAAGTAGAGAATTTGAGTTTAGCTCATGGCAGAGAAGTTGAAGAACATAAATTAATGTATTTTCTATAATTTTTTTTTCAACTAAATCTAAATATAAATTGTTTGAAAATAAAATAACAGATTGTCAAGAAAAAGTATTCATTTTTATCCTATTATTTCATATGTAAATAAAATAATAAAAATATAATCATTTAATTATTAGTTTAATGTAACTTAGAGTGTCTTTCTTGATTCTCCTTTCATAGCACAATCTCTAAGTAAAACATATTATCTTGATATAGAATAGTTGTCCAAAATAATAAAATATTAGAATAAAAGACAATTACGAAAATTTTCAGTGGATTTAAATATATAAGAATTACTAAATCGTGAAATATTTTGAATGATTAATTCACCGCTTAATATTAATTTAATAATTATTAAATAACATAAAATTTCTGATAATGAGTGAGCATAATTGCAAATTGCATTAACAATTATAAATAGAAATAAAATATTAAAATAGTAGATATCATTGTTAAAAGTAAATATTGAAGGATGTTAGATGATGAATCGATTGTCAAATAAACAAGTATTTTGGAAAATAAAAATTTAAGTACCAAAATTCTGCCATTTGATAAATATTTTACAAAAATATAATTGGATAAAGTTATTCATTAGATTTATCTGCATAAAATTTACATTTAATTATTAATTTTATAATTCGAAATTTGTAAATCGAATAAGTCATCTTAACTAAAATACATTGAACATGCTATTTTTTAGTTTAAATTGGAATTAAATATTAATCAACCTGATATAACAATATCATCATATGAATGCAAAGTTCTAAAAAAAAAACAAACAGAATTTTTATTTTTATGAAATTAATAAAAATAACTACTTTGCAAAAAAATTCTAAGTAATAATGAAAATTCAGCACGTTAAAGGTATTAATATTAAATTCAAAGGCAAAGCAAAAATAGTGAATAATTCTCTATCTTTAGAGAAATTTTGATGTTAGAAGGATTGGAACCTTGAATAAAGTTATACAACTAGTTGTAGATGATACAATAATAAATTGCAATAATTTTGTTTAATGTAGATGACTAAATAACTTTGAATCAATAATTATACTAATTTATTTAATTTATATCTGTTGGGACTCAATATATGATCCACTTCCAATCGATAAAGGAAATTCTTTTGTTTTAAATTTTTGATAAGATATTTAACTTTTTAATCATTACAACTGATTTATTAAACTTAAATAAAACAATGGTATAGATGCTTCTGTTAAGTTGGCTTTAGAGATGCTAAGAGCTGTGGATTTTTTCAATTTTCCTACATGTCATTTTCCTTAATTCATTTTGCCAAAAAGTATTTGCACAAAGTGAAATCAGCCGATCCTTTTTTAGTCCTTTTAACGCAGATGATAGTAATTAAGGTGTAATATCATAGATTGGAATACCTACTTAGCTGAAAATTCAAACTACGTCACTAATTGTGTAACTTCAGATATATTTGGAGGGCGATTTGTTTTTAATTCATAAACAGTAATAACAAAGACATTTATCCTTCCTCCTCATTATAAAATTAGAATTGAGTTAAATTTCTGGAGGTTGTAACCTTTAACAATTTGTTTATTAGATTGGATCCTTGGTATTCATTCTCTTATATAGTGTTTGTTAATGGAGAAAAAGCAGTCTCGAATAATCCTAATTCCTCAGGAACTGAAATTTGTGGAAGTGGATCTCTTGGTTAGGTTGATACAATCAATAAATTAATGGATCATATGGGAAACTCAGCCATCATCATAATAGTATCTAGATAAGCATCAGCATATTGGGGAATCTCTGATTTTAAATTTTCAGTCTTAAAATGTCCATATCTTTGTGATTATTGTAATTCAGTTGGAGTCTGTCAGATATGGTATAGAGTTTTAACTTATTTTACAACTCCCACACTCACAAATGGATAAGGATGGTTAAAAGATAATGCATAATATGATAGTGTCTAAGATTGTGGTTATAATACTTAAATATCTTAGGTTTTCAATACTATGGAAATTTTTTAACAACTGAATTGGCCTCAGTTAATTTAATTTTAAATGATCCTTATACGAGAATAAAAGTGGCATTCATATTTCTATCAATGGAGATCACTAGTTCTGTAACAATAGAAGTAAATGGTGATACATAGATGTATTATTTTACTACTTCGCTAAACACTGTAGCAAATTATGATTATTTGTGCGGTTCTGATCTTAAAATGACCAGGGTTGAAACTTTAGGTCCCAGTAGCACTTCCTCAACTATGACAATTACTATTGGTGTTCCAACTTTTTTGACCACATCCGTAAACACACCATCATTTGGTATTAGAGACTTCGAAGTCTTTACATATTAAGAGAATAAAATAATAGATTATACACTTATCCATAAAAATGATTATATCCTTTCCTTTGAAGGGGTTTTTTCCTAATAGTACAATTGTGTAGTTGGGTGTAGTAATTGTATTCGAGATTTGTGTGTAGAATGTTTTTCTGGTTGGAATTTTGATACGAATTCTTAGGAATGCCTACCAATCTGTGGAGATGAAATGATTTTAAACTCTGAAGAATGTGATGATGGAAATTTACATCCTAATGATGGATGTTACTAGTGTAAATTCTCTTGTCCCCTAAATTGTGTTTAATGTGAATTTGGCTAATGCAAGATCTGCAACAACAATTACAAATTGATAGATAATTATTGCTAATTGTCATGCTAATATGAGGATAAAGATAGTTTAATTAAATATGATTTATAAATCAAAGAAGGCCATTATTGTTAAATAGCGAATTTCTTAACAAACACTTATTTTTAGCATGTCATTATAAACTCCTACCTTTAATTCGAAGCTCAAGATCTTCAATGCTAACTCTAAAATTATGGCATTTTTGCTTATTAATATAATTAATGTGAGTAAAAAGAACCATCAAATTGTATTATATCTATTTTTAATGAGTGCCAGCTTTGCATGAATCAATTTGAAAGGACATTCAATGGTTAATGCATTCCTATTTGTAGTCAAGGAATTTACTATGGGGATGAATTTCCTTTTAACTCTATTGAGTTTTAGTTTAATGGTTCTTTTTAATGCAATCTGTGCTAATTGGAATGCTTAGAATGCCATAATTCATTTTGCTTTTCATGTTTAAAAGGATGGAATCTGGTAGATTACAGATGTGAATTTTAATGTGGAGATGGTATAATAGCTATGAATTCTAATGAGTAATGTGATGATTAAAATTAGGATAGTGGAGATGGTTGTTATGAATGTAAATTTGAATGCGAATAAAATTGTGTATTTTGTAATAATCAACATGAATGTGTAATTTGTGATGAATATTTTGAGATTAAAGATAAAAAAAATTGTATTCCAATTTGTGGGGATGGAATTGTAGTGGAAGGATTGGAGATTTGCGATGATGGTAATAATATCCAGTACGATGGATGTCATAATTGCGAATATTCTTGTAGGGAGAATTGTCAAATTTGTGACCATTAGATATGTTTAGATATTTCTGATTAAGTGC